CTAACACCCTTGGAAAAGGTATTAATCCTCTTCTTCTTCCCCCCCAGCTATGGGTAAATAGCAGGACAGCCTTGTGTAGCAACCGGTCTAGGAGAAGGGCAACTCTGAATTCAAAACCTGTAGAGAGTTCTTTGGGGACCTTGTGGCACGCTGTGCACCAGTTCTCTAAATTCGGCTCTTCCCAAAAGTGTGATTGGTTCTGCACAAGCCTTCACCACTATAATCAAATGATTTCTGCGAGTAGTCTGGATGTCGGTTTCTAGGAATTGAGTTGCTTGACCTTCATACGTCGATATCGATGAGTGAGTCCAGTATATATATATATATATATATATATATATATATATATATATATATATATATAGCGATTTTTTAAAATTCTGAACACGTTCAGCACATTGTGGCCATGTCCATAGTTGACATTATTGAAACTTGGCTTCTTTTTATTATTAAAGTTTCCATCAATTTTAACCGATTTTTTTTTTTTTTTTTTTTGCATGTGGATTAGTCTATTATGATCATATTTTTTTCAAAGATGTTGCCGACGGAAATTGGTAGGTTTCCGTGTGTGTTTTAATGGGTCCTAATCGATCTGTGATCATAGAAAAACATCCTTGATAATGGCTAATAGATTAGGCGAAAGCGCTCGGACCTACAGAACATTTAGATACTCTATGCCCAGAAAAGAAATCACTTGTAGAAATGCAAGAAACATTTAAGAAAAAGCTTAATCGAAGTTCCTTGTCAGCCGTCTTCAATGAAACTTGTATAAAAGAGGGATTGCTGCCCAAATAAATGATTATATATATATATATATATATATATATATATATATATATATTTATCATTTTGTCTGACGATCGCAAAAGCGTGAAACCCAGGGTCACAAACTCACATCAGTCCAACTATATATATATATATATAGTGAGTAAATATGCCATGTCAATAGAAGCGACTGTACAAGCACGTACATTCAAACACCGATTATTAGCAGGCATATTGCATTATATTTAACATACGAGGTCTGGTCAAAAAGTATCGGGACAGTTGTTATGGTAACGGAGTCCGCACAGTTAAGTCACTTGACAGGGATTGACTTCGAAATCTTGTTCTCTTCCCTTGTTTATAGCAATGCTTGGAAAGAAATAGTGTATAGTCGTCTCACCACACCACAGAGGTTCCTTCAGTGACCATATCTTGTGAAGCAGTCTTTGGGTAAGCACAATATTCCCCATGTCCAAGAACAGCCATATTCTCACAGATGTCGCAACTTGCAACAATTTTTCTCTTTTTTATATATGATCTTACATTAAGAACTTAATGTCTTAGTAATCATTGCTTTAAGGTAAGATTGCAAGAACATCGTAAAGTCGTAACACGAGGGGGAAAAGAAAAAATCAGACATCGCTGACTACATATGGAGAGAAAGGGAGATCACCGCCCTTTGTCGGATGAGGTTGAAATAATAGACAGAACATTGCTGGAAAATACAAAAAATTAAGGAATCAGCACATATGCTGGGCTACATACAATTTTCTATGACGCCAAGCATAGAAATGAATGCAATATGGAAACCAGTAATACGGAGTGCTAGAGAAAAGCAATACTAACAACAAAAATTGCAATATGAACTTTGGTAAAAAATGATATTGCGACATTAAGTTTATGTCCCAAAAATTCATACACTGATGTCAAGGACACACATATATATATATATATATATATATATATATATATATATATATATATATAGCCAAGAATAAAAGCGTTGGATGGATCCAGTGACTTAATCCTAAGAGTTGTGAGTTCAATGTCTGGCTACTTGTTAATTTGAGTTCACTGAGACATTCAGAAGAGACATGACATGTGTAAATAGAACGGTGGACGAAATAAAGGGTTCAGTTCGAAATTCTAAGCGCCTGATGAAAGCTGGAGCATAGAACGGCCGAAACGTCGTGAATATGGCAACGAAGATGCGGACAACAGTCTGAACAATGTAAATAATTGCAAATCCTCATCTCAGAAACATAGACCGAGATAGAAAGATATTAGCAAAATGAGAAAGATAAATGTTTACACCATTTAGGCATTCTTCTTCATCTATTTGCCTTGTCCTGTCAGGAAGTTGGCGATAATGGCTCTTCACAATTTCCTGTCTTTATAGGTCTTAATAAATGTTGTCTTTTTTATTATCTTTCCTAAACCTTATACAGCTATCCATTTACACAGGCTCGTTAGTTTGATTATGGTTACTTCGCGAGGTTGAGTAAATGGGTGACAGAACAAAAGATCAAAAAAAAAGATTGTGTCGTACCAATCTTCCGAATGAGAAAAACTTTTATTGAAACTCAATATTTCACACCGTGGTTTTTAATTAGGTTTGAACATCGACTACAAATAAATACAGTATAAATATCGCCTCCATCAACCTAAGTCTATAACCAGATATTTTGAATTCTTCGCTAGTCTAATGAACCATACTTATGAGTAGTGAGTTCGATCCTTACTGGGGTCCCCATACTTGTAGCCCTTTGTCAGACAAAGTTAAGCTCAGTTAATATTTATGGTCTGCCTTATGAGTGAAAAGGTGACGTATTTACTACCAA